AAAAAAAAAAAAAAAAAGAGCAAATATCCAAGAAATAGACATAATAAGAAATTCAGAATTAAATATTTTTGAAACTAAATTATCCTAACTCCTTTAATTAAGGCAAAGACTTACAGAAAAATTTGCATGATTGTTCCCTAACTATTAAAGGTATGTTAGGTAATTAAACAAAGAAAGTATAACATAGCTGATGCACTTGATAGGTAGGAGATGACTCTCAAATGTAGAAACGAAATCATAAACTTTACAGATCATGGAACAATGCCCTTGTGATGCCAGCACCCACCTGCCTCCCTGGCCAGAGGCTTTTGCCTGGCCAGGCTGATCTTCACACACTGGAGAAATTATGTCAAACTGTATTGGGGTGTCTGGTGCAACAAGAGAATCTAAAGAGAGGGCAGCCAAATTTGTGGATTCAGATCCTAAGGATCCTGAACTGCTGGTTCGAGCTGTCGGTGGCCGAGATTGTCTTAAGAACAAAGGAAAACAAGAAGGTGTTGCACTTAGTTTTTTTTGGAAATCAAAACACTTAAACTATGAAAAAAGAAAACAATATTATAAGTCAATGAAAAGTGTAAAAAAAATCTCAATGAAAACACAATCCCAAATCATAGCTACTTATTTAACAATAGACTTCTTCCTTTCCAATTATTAAATTCAAAAAGATAAATCACCTCAATCTAGAGATTTAGTAGGAAACACCAGGGAAATCTGAAATAATTATTTATTTAGCACCCTTACTGATAAATTTACCATTTTGAAAATATATTTTCTCTATTGTTCAAGGAACTATTTGGTATTAATATAAGCAGTACTGCTAAAATCAAAGTGCTCACCAACACTTTAAATAGCCTGAATGATTCTTTAAATAGCTCCCAGTGTGGTAACTCACCCTGCTGGCCGCAGGCTCTCATGCCTCTGCTGGAAAGATGGGGAAGGAGTGACAGCTTCTAGAGCTGACTGATTTACTCGTGCAGCAGTTTCCTATTTTGATTATTTTTTTTAAAAAAGGACTAATATTAGTAAAGTAAGAAAACCAAAAGTTTTAATATAACTCTGAATTGTTAGAATGCTTTTGAGTTACACTTAAAATACAAATTAGAGCTCCTACAGTAGTTCCACATTCTCTTAATATTAAGGAACATAATTTAACTTCACAACATTATAAACTTAAGTTTCCTCTTGCTTCCTTTAATCTAGAAAAACATCTGATTAATTTCTACTAATATACATAATTATTCCATGGCTTTTTTTCTTTAAATTTTTTAAAGAAAATAATATTTTTACTAGCTATTTTGATTAAGGTTTGTATTGCTAGAACTCAGCACAGTGCCTGGCACAGCAGACATTTGTTGAATAAAGAATTTTAGGAGAAGGAAATACTCACAGAGCATGAAAGTTAGTATAACTATGCTGATAAAGTTTTCATAATTTTCCAGAATATATTTATGCTCAGAAATATCTATATATTTATTAATTTAAAAAGTTATCATGGATATTTGCAGACCAAAGTTTAAAAGAAAGCTTTCCGTTAGAAATATTTTAGACTTATTGTTTATTTAAAACATTGGCTAATAAAAATATCATTTAGAGATCTGTTTTAACAATGTACATATAGTTAATACTGCTCCCTCTATTCACCTGAAAATCACTAAGAAGATAAATTTATTTTTATCATAATTTTTAAAATGATCTTTAATTAGAAAAAATAATCACAAAACAGAAATGCACAGCCGTATTGGTAAGTTAGCAAAAATACCAATATGATGTCACAAATTGACCAAAATTTCTATTTTAATACAGATACAATAATTCTGGATAACCTAAAAAGTACTAACCAAAAAATGAGAGCTCTTATAATTGGCAGGAAAGGATTCTTAAGTATGAACTATTCAAATCCAAACATTGTATTCCCTATGTATTTCCTAGGCAATAAAACAAATAGTTCAATTTGCATTTTAATTTTATTTTTTGATGCTGTTAAGTAACCTTACAAAAAGAAAAAGCTAGACTGGCAAGACCAAAATTCTTCTCTACAGTTTGTACTGATTTTCTAACATTAAACTCATCATTCATTGTAATAACATAATTATAAATGTTCATATAGAATTATAACAACTCATTATAAAACTAACAAATTACTAATATTCTGGAGGTCATGAGATTTTGTTTCTTTGGTTTAAAACTTCTTCCTAGGCACTGAAATTATCTTTCTCACAGGTTCCTCAAAGCCATTAAGATAAAAGCAGAATGACTCTTCTTTTCCAAATTGTTCTTCTCTTTCCTTGGGCTTAAAACTTGAATATCATCTTTACCTTATTCATCTCTTTCGTCCTTCACATTAATCAGTTGCTAACTAGTCTAATTGTCTTATTCATCATTATATCAACAGAACGTTTGAGATTTAGAGGGGCGGAGCCTTCCAAAGAAATTAACCCTCCCTGCTTTAGCTGAAAACATCAGCCCCTGTCCAGCCCTGGGAGGTAACCTGGATTCATAGCACAGAGAGGGCCACTAAGACTGCCAAAAGTCAGACAGCACTTGTAGGGCCAAGACTTTTTCCAACTGCAGCATGGGCCCACTTGATTCCTTCCAGAATTCTCTAGACTTCTAGGTATTCCCTGAATGTTTGGACTGTGCCTAGGGCTATATCGACACTGCAGGGTTGGTATATCTGTTTTGATATACTAGCTCTCAAAATACCATTTGTAAAAGTGGGAGTTCAAGCTTCATCAGCCCAGGCATACTGAATCATAATACGCATTTTTACAAGATCCTCAGGTAATCCGTATGTACATTTCAGTTTTATTATTTTCTATCAAGAACTTTTCACTCTAATTATATTACTCATTTCATAAATATACCATTTACGCATTTGTGCTTTTGTTTTTATTTTCTCATCTAGGATGTCTCTTCTTTTCCTCAAAACTAAAACAAATCCTACCTAGCTCAGGTTTCCACCATCTCCACAGAGCTTCCTCTAAAGCTGATCTTAACATTCTCCATACTTAAGCCATTACCATATGCTTTCAATTACATACTGTTGTATCTGAAATGTTAACATTTTAGTTTTGCTTCCCCATACACAGGCCATGGCTTATTTTTCTTCTGTATTTCCCTTCTCTGCATGCTCAACAGAGTTGATTGACTGATTTCAGTACCTTCTGAAATAATTTGTTCTAAGAACATCACTCATTACATACATGGCACATAAAGCTACCTATTCAAGGTCAAATTAAAAAATTACAGAACTTAAGAAATTATGACAATTAATAGAACCACAGAATTATTCAGTTTTGCTTAGATCTGGATAACAAAATAAAAATATTACCTCTGGATTTTCACTTAAGTATATTTGTTTAGATATGTTATTTATTGTACAGATCCACTGCAAGAAAATAGAAAAATTCAATTAACTTTTTCTACAAAGTTTCTCTTCTAAAGGTTAATGATGTTCAATATTCAATTGAAACAATTTTCATTAGAAGTAACATATAATCTTCCTTGTAAGACATTCAGTAATTTTATTATTTAAACATATGCATATATATGAGAACATTCAGCAGATTTATTATTTACAAATCCCAAATTTGGCCACGCACAGTGGCTCATGCCTTTAATCCTAGCTTTCTGTGGAGGCCAAAGCAAATGGATCACTTGAACTCAGGAGTTCAAGACCAGCCTGAGCAAGAGCAAGACCCCATCTCTACTAAAAATAGAAAAACAAACAAACAAACAAAAAAACTAGCTTGGCATTGTGGTAGGCACTGGCAGTCCCAGTTACTTCGGAGGCTAAAACAAGAAGGATTGCTTGAATCCAGTGAGGTTGCTGTGAGCTATAATGTCATGGCACTTCTCCCCAGGGCAACAGAATGAGACTATCTCAAAAAAACAAATAAATAGTAAAAATCCCAAATTTATTTCTCACAGGGAAATAAAAAATACAGCAATCATATTAAATTACAATTTAATAGTATATATTTATCTTCTTATATCACTGTGCCCCACCCCTATGATCCTCAGCAAACAAAAGACAGTCTGGACTCCGGTATTGTAATTAATACCAATGCAAAAAAAATTAAGAGATAAACATATTCCTGGTGAATATATTTTACATACCTCCTTCTTTCAAGTTTATGAATAATTAGCATAGAAAACATTCTCTTCTGCATATCTACTTTATTCTCAAGTATTCCAGCAACTGACGAACTTCACTAAACTTAAATATTTTGTTTGGTAAACATGCAAAGAACAGAGACATTCATCTGTGTTCCTTAAAGACCAAAATCAAGTTTTAATATTATCTCTTTTCCAGAAAAAGTAATTAAGATAGATGTCTACAGAATTTCTAACTTTGTCTCTTACCAACACAATTATAATACCAGATATAAAGCCTCAAAATCAAGCTAAGGTATATTTTCATGGAAGAAAATTTCTCAAGACAAAGCTTTTTAAGCATCAGTTCTTGCTAGTTCCTTACCTTCCATATTTGGTGTATAAGTAGTAAAAATGGAGCCAAAAATAAAAGACTTGTGAGGAAGAACAGAGACTCCCAAATTTTTGTTTTTCTATCTTTCATGTCCCCAAAGTTTTAAGCTTTAGCTGCTTCCTGGCACGCCACAAAAGGGTTGGTGAGAGAGGGAATAAATTAAACTGTTGCCTCATGATACTAACAGCCTGCCAGATGACAACAGTCACAAGGTCATTTCTGAATTTGAGCTTTTAAGACAGCAGAGAGATGATCACTAAGGTCCATTAACTATAAAATTCTGTGAGAAACTTAAGAATATCACTTGAGGACAATAGACTTTTACAAAAAAAGAAGGACTTTTAATTAACTAGGATTTTCCAAAATTTCTATAATGAATACATGCTTTGTCACCAGAAAAGTATTTTTAAATGTCACTGAAGAAGTTAACTAGATAAAACTTTACCTCCTCATGGTCTTTTTTACTTTCTGCTTGCAAAATTGAAGATCTGGAAAAAAAGAGAAGTTTGAACCACAATTCTCTCTAAAAGTATTTTCAGCATGATCTGAGAGAATTTATTATCTTTAATGCCATAGGTATATATAAATCCAATCAGTATTAAAAAACAAAAACAAAAAACACAGTCAACAGTATCTTAGGAAAAGGAGACCATCAAAGGCATCAGGACTTAAGAACTCTGACTCCAGCTATCTATGCCAAATGTACCAAAGGAAACAGGTACCAATCCTTGAAGATGGACTACAAGAAAGGTACATTTCAACAACTAAGGCAGGCTTGGCGCCTGTGGTTCAATCGGCTAAGGCGCCAGCCACATACACCTAAGGTGGCGGGTTCGAATCCCCAGCCCAGGCCCGCCAAACAACAACG